GCGTTTTACTAGTCCGCGTTTTACTAGTCAGCGTTTTACTAGTCCGCGTTATACTAGTCCGCGTTTTACTAGTCCGTGTTTTACTAGTCCGCGTTTTACTAGTCCTCGTTTTACTAGTCCGCGTTTTACTAGTCCAGTCGAGTCCAGTCCAGTCGAGTCGAGTCCACGAAATACCATATGACGTGTAAATAACACGTGGGCACTGTTTACTTTCGAAGATTTCGCGTGGTAGACGTATTCAGTAAGATCTTAAAACTGAGAGACCACGACAGTATGATAAGAAATTTGTTCAAATATAGTTATCAGCGGTACCTCTCGACCCTAGCTGTATGCCTTCGTTTACTTCTTGATACATTAATTTCTGTTACCAGATTTGATGTTTATACACTTTACATCCTTGTATTTTTAAATTTGTAGATATCCTGTCCAAATCGTGATTATAATGTTAATTTAGCGTGCAGGTCCACATATCAGGACTTATTGTCTTGCCTATTTTATTAAACTGCCTTACCAAATAAACTTGTTGTTGTTGAGTATGAGAATCCACTAACCGAAGCGACAAGTTGCTAAGAAATGTTCATCGACAAGGGGTAAAAATTACGACAACTTTTTTGTCACACATTTGTTACTAAGATTTGTACCTGTTCAGTTTTCTCGGACAAAAACGCATCCAACATTTTTCAATCATGGCTTAAATATCAAGAAAAACTCGGCGGCATCTTTCAACCGGTTACTTAGACTAGAATGGACACCAATGTGTGAGACCATGTTTGGAACCACTAAATACCTCTCCAAATTCATTTTGTCGGCGAAGTCGTCGATAGCAAAATCCAGAGGATATGTTTCACTGCATTGAACTGACTTAAGAAAATTGACAAGGTCGCGTGCGTGAGATTTTTTATATAGCACGCCTGGTGTACAACATCGAGCTGCCTCTACGACAGAATACAAGTATGGCGAGAGTTTCCTTAATTCTACCCAGTGAGCTCTTCCAACAGTGTAACCAAGTAAAATAGCGTAGACTGCCCATACTACGAAGGTTAAAAACATAGATTGTCTCCTTCGCCTCGTAATTCCTATTTTCAATTGTATCCAAACCGCTAAACATCCTCCAAGTAAACCGATCAGCAGAAGTTCTGGTACCTGCGGCCAGCCGAAACCTTGCCATTTCTCGGGGTAGTAGAGTTTCAAAAAAGCCCAATCGCGGCGACTTTTCAAAACTCTTCCAGGCATCCGATTATTCAAAACGAAGCGTAGATCATTTAGCAGATTTTTAGATGGCAGAGCATCGTCCTCAAGCATTAAAATATACGTTGAATTGTGTTGCAAGGCCGTTTCTAAACCCAAAATATAATCTTCTTTCTCCCTTGTCCTCGAGGCGGCGGAGTTCACGTACGACGAGCTATTGACCACGTTCACAAAACGTGAAAGATAAGCCGCATCTTCGTTCAGTTGTGGATCAAAATTTAAAAAGGTGAGAGCAGTTTTTCCCTGATCATACAACACCTGAGGAAGTAAACGACCAGCCACTTGAAGCGAATAATGAGTGTTTGAACCGCGGTATGCTGTTAACAAAACAGTCGAAAATTCCATTTGATTATCGTGATTGTAATCGACTTTACTATCCAAATTTCGAAAGAAAATTTTAGCGTTCAAAATCCGCTCTTCATTTTGTGCTTCTAGGAATTTATAAGCTCCCGTAGGCTTCTTGAAATACGACGAAAAACCAAGCTTGTGGCACATCAAAGGCAGTGCGAAGAGAAACGTCGTTAGATATACGACCGCAGCAGCAGTAAAAAAGTCTCGCTGGAAAAACATTTAATCTTCGCTGTACCCAAGAAAGGTTTCCCGAACCCCAAAAAGAATTGCATAGCACGATATGGTCGAGGAACAAGTGAAAGCAATCGTACTACAATCTGTCACAACGGAATCACTTCATTCGCATGGAGAGCGTTCTTGAAATCGTTACCAGTGAAAATCGCAAATAGATGAGTTAAAGAATGTCACACAACGCTGATTCTTGAAGGTCACGAGTTTTTTAAAAAAATCTTCTGGAGTTACTTAAAAGCACGAGTAAAATGTAAAAGACCAGGAGGCTAGCATTTCCTACCTGGATTTCCTTTTTTCGTTCGTAATCTCGAATTCAGTGACCAAAACAATAACGACACCAAACCCGTTTGTAACACCCTTTAGGTGTGTCACGTAACGATGTTATCTATGGAATTTTCAGCCTTTATTCATTAATAATTTCGAATACACATGCTTTGTTAGAAACTGCAGATTTATATGGTCACCCTTGGCGAATGGCAGGGTGACTGCTTTTTAAATGCAAGTTTACCAGCCAATGACTTGAGTGAAGTTCATGCATAATATTTGCTTTAACAGTCCAAATAAGAAAGATTTGTGATGCATTCCAGTGTCCTTGAACACAAACTAATGACACTGATTTAGGAAATTCCGGAAGCTTCAACAACCCCCTCACCCCCAAGCTCTGGACAACCCACTCTACCCGGCTGGGGTAGGGAATTTGAACTGGAAATGTCAAGTCTTTCCAGCAGATGACAAATGCTATATTATTAAGCTATCAAGGTGTTTAATGGTAAATGGCAAACGGCTCACAAGAAAAAGGTTTACCAAGTCTAGGTTTTAAAGTTTGGTTCAATTATGCGTAGAAAGTCAAAGCTCCTGATTTCCCCTTTTACAAAAAACAAAAATTGAATAAACCAATCTTCAACAGTTCATCACCCCCAGAATTTGTTGATGCTTCAAATTTAACCTGCAGTGCAGGCGTCTCATTAGAGTTAACATTGTAAGCTTGTGATCAGTTATCTGGATGTGGAATGGAGTCAGAGTGTACATTAGGAGTAAGGGGCAAAGGGTGGGGGAAGGGCCACCCCACCCCCCTATTTTTTTAAATGTAACTGACACCCCTTTGCTACCAGTTTCTTTGTTTCCCAGGCTTTCTGCTGCCATTTTTTGCTGGGAAAGTCCTGAGCACTTGCACCCCCAGATTACCCCCGCACAGCTGGCTACTTCAAATTCAAATTGACAAATTGATCAATGCATTAGTTAGAGTGAGTCACACAAGAAAATAGAGAGGAAAAGTTGTAGGCTTTAACATTACCTTGATATAATTTCCCTCCTACAATTTCCACCTTAATCTCATAACTTACTCAGTTAATTCTGAGCACAAAAAAGTGTCTGGAAATAGTTTCAATAATGAACCAATAACTGAGCTGCAATAGCAAAACTTTATTAAAATTTAAGATCATTAAACTATATACAATATGTACTCCATTTGCATGCGGTTATTTAATTTAGGCAGCTGGTGGAACAAGTCTAAAACAATTATAGAAGTATCCATGTGACTCTGTCACACTACTGCAAAGAGTGGCCTATTTACATGATTCATATCTGAAATTCTGAAGAGATAACAACTGGACCACAATTAACTTCTCAGGATTTTTGGCAAACTGCAAAATGAAGTCTTTTACATCTCTGAATAAGCACAATTCCTTCAAATTAAGACAACTATCATATTAAACTCATGGAAAGAGTGTTCGAAAAGGAAAGATTGTTAAACTCAATAAACGTGCAATTCATGAATTCTTATATAATGGCAGGATAATTGCAAAATTAAAGCTTCCTGGATTGCTTAGATGGTTGACCATGGAGAGAACATTATAGATGTTAAGCATGAAAACTAAAATGGTTTTTATGTCTTCATTGCTAGTTTTCAGGACCCCTATCCATTTGCCCTCAATCTAAGACCATTTCATCCAAGGTAATGCCCTTGTTGTACAGGTTGGACACAATCTTAAGCAAGGTTTAAACAAAAATGTAAGTAAATGTCCATTGAATGTTCCAATCCCAATATATCAGCTATTTGCAGTGTCCAATACAGAAACAGGTGCAAGTATTCTATTCTTATTTGTCTCCAATATCTCTCCATTTACGATCATTTCATCCAAGATCATATGCACTTTATCCAGGTTGAACATAATCTACAGAAAGGCACACAGTCAAGGAAACTTAATATGAAATATCATTTGTCAAAGATTCAGTTGAAATAACAATTATAACTTTTTTTCATGTTAAGATGTCCTCATAATCTAAATTTTACATTCCTTGCAAAATGGCCTGTGACTTCTGTACTCAAGTAGTACAAAGATGGTAGTGAGCATGATAAACTGGTTAAGGACAGACAGTCAGGAAAAAAACTATACCTTCCTGACTAGGTGCTCCTCTAACTGGTTCATTTACTGAAGTTTTTCCTAATCCTCAATTAATTCCCGTGACACAGCTTCGGCCCTTAATCACAAAATTTAGCTTTACTAACCCTAACTTTAATCACTGTAATGAATGCATAACTATAACTATTAATAATAATAATAATAATAATAATAATAATAATAGTAATATTCTATACAAGGCTAAAAGATAAGGAAAAAATTAAAATGTTTGAACCAAACATTTTCGGCTATTTGCCATCATCAGGGTTGAAAATAATAACCGCCTGCACATACATATATATATATATATCTTATATAATTCCCGATGGGAAAAGTTTGGATAAATAATAATAATAATAAAAATATCAATGCTTTGACACAGAATTCTGTTTGATAGCATCAGAGAAAACAATATACAACAATCTACAAGAATTTCACAAATATATTTGAGCAGTGTGATTAAAAAATTTCAACCCAGTTTAAAAGTTTTAGCTTAGTTTGGAAATTTGAAGCTACCCCTGCCAGTAGTTTGAAAAATTTAAAGTGGTTCCAAAAAATTGAAACCAAAAAATAAATTCAACCCTAACATTTACATCCATTATTCCACTAATTTTTTAGTCCATTAAATCATAATTATAACGTCCTGTCACTTGGTATATTTAATTTGTCTCCTTTCCATAGAATAATGATGTCAAAAGTATATTAAATAACAAGGATACATCCAATTCACACTGAAAATAAATATAGAGATAGATTTATTTAACTTCTTTAATAATATAATCCTAACTTAAATAACCATCTAAAAAAAAAAGTATCCACCCAGTTGATAAAACATGTTAAATACATGTTGAATAATTATATACTTTAATCAGAACTTTTAAGAAGTAGGAACGCCAAATTTTTTTGATTAAGTGCTGTCAGTAATAAGATCACAGTTTTATATATTGTCAATGGTGGTGGGTTCTTCTTATTACTATGTCTAAAACAAGAGAAAACTTAAACTGCTGAATAAAGTATCTTGAAACTCACCACATTTGAAAAATACCGATCCAGAGTTTCTACGAAGTTATGAATGAACTCAAGTATTGACAACTCATTCTGCAAAGAGAAATTTAGTTCAACTGTTATCAGTTCTAGATAATTTGGTTTTATCAACTGAGTTGATGAAACCAAATCAGGAATGTGGTCTGGCAGTGCCCAGTGGGCCCTGGCACCTTATTTTTGCTCTTGGGAAACTCAGGTAATCTTAGTTTTCTCATGTTGGCACCCTAGATTTTAGAGTTTCAGAGCACTGGGCTCTTTACAATTTTCCTCCAAGCACAGCCTTGCATACAATACCTTGTTCTACTCCCCCACAAACACAACACAACAGTTTCTTTAGAAACTTAGCCCCTTTATCTTGTTATCTTCTAGAGTTTCAATTAAAAATGAGAAAAAGTTCATCGTACATTTATTTGCTCACCTTACTGTATAAAAGACAGGTGAACCAAGCAAAGCTGGGTTATTAGAGCTGTGTCAGCAAAAATCAAGTATGGAAACAAAACTACTTCTGTTTATATGTAAAGATCTCAATTTTGTATAGGCTTTAGTTTTTGTTTCCATGCACATTGTGATTGAATAACTTGATGAGAAGTTTAATTCTTACACTTGAGGCACTAAGTTATCTTTTTTTTTCCTCTCACACCAACATTTGTCGATGCTTATAATAAGTAATTGGAAGAGGTTTCAAAGTGAAATTGTTATCCCTAAAAAAGTCTCCCTTAACCCTTTCTACTCTTAACATAAGTATGCATACAATGAATATATGAAGTTCATATATTTTGAACTGCGGTTATAGATACATATGATGCACGATCCTCGCAGTAGAGAGCGCTATTTATGCAATAGCAAAAATCAGACCTGAAAAAAATCAGGCCTGTACGGGATTCGAACCACTGACCTCTGCGATACTAGTGCAGGGHTCTACCAATTGAGCTAACAAGCCAACTGGGAGCAGGCCGTTCAGTTGATTCGTAATAAACCCGTGAAAGTGATAAATCAGATACAATGAATATATGACGTTCACATATTTTGAACTGCGGTTGTAGATACATATGATGCACGATTTTCGCTATTGTATAAATAGCGCTCTCTACTTCGAGGATTGTGCATCATACATATAAGTATGCATATTCTCCATAAATGTGCTCTATACATTTCCTAAAGTGCTGACAAGGACAATTTGTTTTATAATCAAGAGCTTCTTTAGTTACAAATTGGTGATCATTTCCTATAATTATTCTCATGACCTTAATGTGGGATTCAGGGGTCATGCTGTAAGGAGAAATTAGATGTTAGTTACTCTAAGGGGGAGCCTCAATTAATGTATATATTATTAATATTATTATAGGGCTACATGTGAATGAATCAACCTGCCTCATCAGAATCCACGCCAACTATGAAGAGTAGTGAAGCATATCTCCTGTAGACAACTTTGAAATTCTTGAATTCCATAAAAGGACACTGGTGAAGAAAATGAGGATTTAAAGCACCTCCATAGTTCAAATTAATTCAACCTTGGTTAAAACTCTTGTCCTTGACTTACACTGTTATTGTTGCTGTATTTTTTATGAATTATAAAATTACCGAACTGATCATTTGTTATCACCCGATAAAACTGAGCAAAATAAAAGCTTGATCACGAAAAAAAATTAAACCAACCAATAAATCAAATATATCAAAATAAATTTTCATATCAATAACAACAGAGAGTGGAAAAAATTAATTTTTTTCCTGAGTTTCTTAAGACAGGATGCTGGGATTTTTTTAACCTGGTCGTCACTCCTTGCCAAACATTTCCGCGTTATTTCAGCTTCAATATTCGTTCTTTCTTCCAGATCCAAGTGCTCGTAGTATTGTGAAACACGTGTATGTCCTTGCTTGTTAACAAGAAGTAGAAACTTCAACATTTTAGTAGACTTTTACCACCTAACAATTTTGATCAAACAGAACTTCTCCTCGCCATGAGAATAGTGCCAGGCGTTCAAGACTTGTACATGAAATCGAGGTTTCAAAACAATCAAAATGGCGAAAAATTCAGATGTGGGTGAAAGTGCAGGCGTCAAAGACTTTTTCACCACAGACCGCAATGATTTATACAGCTACACAGAGTGCAGAGCTATCGGAAAAAATTTTTTGAAAGAGCTGAAACAAGCCGTAATAGGGAAGAATTTGCAAGAAATCGAAGAGCCTCATGCAAAAGCTACGAAATACCTCGAAGAAACAGAAATTTTACATCTCTTAGAGGTTAGAAAGCTTGAAAACCAACGTTTTAAACTAACTGAGTTTTTAATGTACTTTCTGTTTTTTAAGATCCCCTAAAAACATAGGTAATTTTCATTATGTCAAAGGTGTGGTGCTGATGTACAGCAAAAACTGATTAGAGAGTTGTCAGTAAAATTGCTAATTGTTTAATCATATATGTCTCATTTTGTTAGGACTTGATTACCAAGCTTGTTTTTAAGAGACCTGAGAAGCCAATGGAATTTCTAGTGAAAGAAATAGAGGAGTTCAAGAGAAGAGGATCAGAACGTCAAAGCATGGACTAAACAACTTGTTATTAAACAGACCAATTTTTGAAATTTCGCATGGAAAACAGAAAATAAACAAAAACGAAATAAAGCTATACAAAATCAAACCAAACGAAACAAAAAACAGATATATATATATATATATATATATATATATATTGGTAGTTTGACGGAGTGGAGTCCAACTTGGCCTGTAATCGTACAAGTGATTAACAAACTGGGACATCTGCAAAGCAAGAGTGCAATTTGTCAATCATGAGTATGATTACAGACCAACTGGACAACACAAAGTCCTGTTACCAATTAATCATAACCATTACAATTTCCAAGAAAAAGACATGCATTTTGGAAAATATTACCTGTAGGGAAAATGTCCAAAGTGAAAAATTCCTCCATTTTGGAAATTCCTCAGAATAAGATTATTTGCTTGTTTCTATGGTTATTGTGATCAATTCTGTGATTGGTGGATTTAGCTGAGTGTACTAAGTTTGATTGGCTGCTTTAGCTGTTCGATTACAGGTGTCCTATGAAAGTGAACTGTCCGATTACACTATTCAGAAAAAAACTTAACAGAATAATTAGTAAAAAATAAAGCAGCTAATAATGCTCCAATCGTGTTTGAGGAAATTGTAAAGGGTATGATAAATGAAAAAATTAAAGCTATAAGGCAAAGTACCACAGTTAAAGTATTATCAGGAGAATGTTGGATTTTGAAGATCCCAAGAATTTTGTCCACAAGTATAAGAGTTATTGGTATTAATCTATTTTTTGGAAATCTTTATAACTGTTCAGAGTGGATTGAAACATTTTTTTAAATAAGACTGCTCTAGTTGGATTAATGCTATTGTAGGAAAGAGCAGAAGAGAGTGTTAGCAATGTTATGATGCCTGTAAGCACGCGTTACGTGCCTGTCCTATTCTCGGGAATCATGGGATTGTAAGATATGTGCATGTGCTTGCAAGTATGTAGTTTTGGCTGGACAGATGTGGATTAAGATTAAAGTATTGTTTATTTTTATCGAATTTTGATCCTTGGAGCACCCTGAACCTTTCAACCTTTTCCCAACAGAGAGAAACCTGATAGTAAGAAAATAAGAGTTAGTAAGTTTTTAAGCTATATTCATATTCCAATCTTGAGAAGTATGGCATCTCAAGTTTGCTAAGATTCCCTCACTGTTGCTGAATGAATTAAGACTTAATGATGTGACAAATTTTATATTTGTTGACCTGTTACACCCCTAACATCGGTATGCATATTCTCCATACTGTGATCTCTCTACATTTTCTTTGGTTGTCTTTGGTGCTGACAAGGAGAATTTGTTTAACAATCAAGAGCATCTTAAGTTGGAGATCATTAATGCTACCCAACACCAAACACCAACAGAATGCAGCGGGAAAAACCACCAAATGTTGTTTGTTTTTTTCTCTCCGTTTTCCTGTTTCGCGATCACTGGAATTTCAACAATTTCGGTTTCGGAATCCCGTCCAAAGGTTGTTGTTGCGTGACGTATCGACACGTGATCAGGGAAGTGTTTTGCGACGGTTCGTCGGGCAGAATAACCTGAATGCGCTTCGCGAATTTCAGGAATCTCTGGAGTCGTGTATTCTATCAAATATTATCCAGTCACTTATCATGCATGAAGATCCACAAAAACAAAGATGCAATCTAAGTGCAACTTAACGGTCAATGAACGGTGAGTTAAATTCGTTTGTTTGCAATCAATTCAGGAGATAATTTGTTTTTCTCACAGCGAAACATTAACAGGTCCAATCTCATGCCATTGATTTGCTTTTGTACGTGTTCAGTGATTGAAAACCTAACCACGAGGTCGTGGTTGTGACAGGAGTTAACTCGTCCGTTTTGCCCGCGTCATGCAAATGGTGATTAAGCGGCAAGGCCCATATCCCGAAGTCGAATCGACCGATTGAGAAACAAATTCGAATAGTTAGCTTGCTTTGGTTTAGAAATTTTAGACGTGTTTTGAGAAATTTATTTTGGTTACTGTCATCACAACCAGGCTTAAATAGTTTACTACTATGGGAAATAGATAACTTAAATCAAAATAAAGAGGATGCGTGCGGGCAAATTCAGCGCGAAATTCATTACAATGTTATAGAAATATCCAGTGAACATCCAGCGCGGGTTATCCATATCTTTCCTCGGAACATGATTTCGTCCTTTAAATCAAAGACTAAGGTAACTGTTTTTCGATTTTAATCATTAATTCTCGACAAATTCCTCTATTATTGATGGTGTTCCGACACTTTGTAGGGAAGCTTTCAAATGAGGTCATCTAAAATCACACTCGTTGACTGTGCATAAACGTGTGCTGATTCTCTCAACGAAACTCGTCGCGACAAATAAATTTTAAAAAAATGCCACATTCCGTTGACCTCTCTTTCGGCGTAAAAAAAAAAAATTCAAACTTTTGGGGGGCAAAATTCTGAGAACGAAATCACCTAATTTATTATTTTACAAGATATTTCCCCTGGGTACGATGACTAATTTGAATGTCGAAAGGTACGTTTATTTTACAATTTTGCATAATAATCTATGAATCAATTAATCGAACAAAACATTGCGTCTCTATTGCGAGTTGTTAATGTTGAATACGTGACGTTTGTGACTAGATGGATGGTTAAAGCGTTGGGACTTGCTTGTTTCAAGAATATTCGTCACCTTTTTTCCGGAATCTCCGAGGCATGCTGTTTTAAGAAAATTGCTTCCAAATGACCTAACGTCTGAATCTATTTTCTGGATAGAAGGATACTGTCAGTGGTCGTAAAATTTATTGCAAAAGAAATAATATTTTGTTATTTGTTTAAAAATAATTTTTTGGTAGGTCTCACCACTAACTACTACTCTTGGATAATATTACGAGGCCTTTTCATGCTATTTGCGGAGAGAACTAGAAGTCACATGTTTTGCAAGCAAATGGCGAATCATTTTTAATTTTATCTCAAGTTTAATTTTAACTATCAGTTAATGGTACTTTAGGCAGATTTTGGTGATAACAAAAGAACTTTGGAATCTGTTTTTATTTCTTACTGCAATTTTGTTAATCAGTGTTATATTTTGTATTGTGTGGTCACTCACTGTTGCTGATGTTTTATTCTATTCCTACACAAGTCTTGGTTTCAATAGTATTTATGTATTATTATTTGATATTCTGCACCTCGAGGGAGCAACTGACCAACATGACCTTAAATGTATCATCAGAAAATCCGTGGAAAGTATTGAAACCAACTGATGTATTATTTAGCATGCTGTTATTTTTGCACTATGTGATTTAATAGCAGTGCAAAAAAAAAAAAAAATTGTATCATTTCTTCTCACTATAATCACACACACTGTGGTGAAGTCAGTCAAATTTCTGTTACCCAACACTTTTTATCTACGCATTGATGTATTGTGGGCTTCAATATCATGCTCTTAGTTTAAAATGCAGATTAATACATCATAGGAATATTCCTCAAAGTAGGAAAAGGGAGGTGTGGTAACAACATATGATAGCAGCACTAACAGGGATTTATTTTACCGTATCTCAATGGGAAGTACATTGGTGAAAAGGTTAGGATGCTGGACTCTGGGACCAAGAAGTTGGGGTTTGAGACCTGGTAAGGTCACTGTGGTGAGAGTGTCTCTCTCTGCCCAGGAATACTAAGGGTAATAACAGTCTGTCACGTAACATGACAAAGCACTAGGGTGTGATGTACAATGGACTAACTTCACATCCAGTGGGGGGTGTAGTGATACTCTTAGTCGCTTCATGCTATTAAGACTGAGATAAGCCCCATCACCATATGGGCCACTTGGCTGGAGTTTTGACTTCACCTGTCCTTTACCTTCGAAGGGGGTGGTATACAGGGGTAAGCTTTGTGTTCTGCAGTGCTCAGTGGATGATTTTGCCTTTGGTTGTGTTATCTTTGTCTTCTATGACAAAGGCATTGCATTCAGGGCAAACCAAAACTGAACTTCAGTCAAGTGATTTTGTAAAGTGCCTCAAACAAGTAATGGATGTGTGCACTATATAAATGAACTCACTACCATATTATTATTGAACTGTTATTAAGCTATTGCTGGGAAGAAATTTGGTGTTATCGTTTGGGTTGATATTATGATATTGGGTGAGTTGATATTGCTGGGAAGGTTTATTTTTGAGATAGTTTGTGTCCCATCCCTATTTTGGTGCCATGTTAAAAGCACTTTTGTTTTGCAGTTTTGAATATGCTCATTGCCATAATGATAATAATAGTAAATTTATTACTTATAGCACACAAATTAACATCAAAATATGATCAAATGCATGTCATTCTTTTTTTAAGTTGTTTTCTCAAGTTTTAGTAATATTTTTATCAACTGTTATTTTTTTCTATATAATCTGAGAATGGTACAGTACTTTTAAGATCCTAATAATTGTTAATAATAATTTAATATTTATATTGCACAAATTAACATTTGGATATGATCAAATGTGCATCACAACACTTTTCAGGAGACTTTTGCCACACTGCATCAGTAGTGTATAATCAATTGAGGGAAACTTATTTGAAGATGCCCCTTCCCCCAATTCTCAGTAAACAGGCCAGACCACGTTACAGTAATTTCATAAGAGGGTTCTTTAACGTCCCCTGCTTAACCAAATTAACTAATTGATAGATGTAGGAGACTGGACCTACGGTTTATTCATCCTTATCCAAGAAGACTAGAATGTCTATCCATTTCTTGATATTATAGACAGGTAGCACATTCTCCTCAGTTATTTTAAGACCTTGAGTGTTGGTCTGGCTGGGGCTCAAACCCTCGACCTCCCACACAACAGTCTGCGCTCTAACCAGTTGAGCTAACCGGGAGGTGGTCTTAATTTGAGATCTTAATTTGCACCAGTAAATTAGACTCAAAGAAAACTTTTTTTCTTGTTTCACTTTTAGTCAGCTGTAATGTATGTGGTCAACTCGTACCTCCATGTTCTCAAAAACATTGACTCAAGCTGGGGAGACTCCACAACTTCAACCAACTCACGACGTGGTAAGAGAAAACGAGGGCGAAAAAGATCAGGCAATTCCTCCAATTCATTCTCACAGAGTTCCTGCAGAAGTAGTCAAACATATTCTAGCAGTTCAGAAAGTGGCTTGTACAGCGAAGGACTGGTCAATTCTGGTTACTATGGAGATGATGAAGTGGACCGCTGCCCTTGTGCTAAATGCGTGAGTGAGGCACTAACGTCAAAACCCAAGACTGATGTAGTGGCTGACTATGACATTATTAGTGTAGACTTAAGCGAATCTCCAACTCCTACGTTACAACTTAGCTGTGTTCCACCCTTAAAGCAAAGTAATTTTGATGACTATGTGATCATTCCTTCGTCTAAAGAGGAATTTTTTGCGAATGCTTTAGCACACAGCTCTCCTCTCCTGGAGAAAAACAGTCATGAATTTGGTGCTAGCGTGGAATCACCAGCTGTTAAACAAGTCGCCGTCAGCCTTCAAGCCACTCTCAGTCTGCGCTACCCTTGCAAATTGCTAGAAGAGGATGGAAGCGATAGTTCTTTAACAAGGCCTGTTACTTTGCAGAGAGTTGCCAGTAAAAGTGATGGTACAAGTTGTGGGTGGAGAGAGAACATTGTTTGGCAATTACAACAGCGAAATGACACTCAAACGAAACGGTTTTTACACCTTCAAACCGACAATCAGAAGTGCCGCGCTATAACTACATGTAATAACGTTATGATAATTAAGGAAGTTGACCCCATTGAGAGATCAGAACTTTTTCTAGCGATAAGAAACCAACGGTCCCCTAGCGGTGACACTGAGGGACATTCTCGCCCGAGATCTGACAGCATCGCGCATTTAGCGGCCACTTATATCAAACGACAGCGAACATTAACGGAAGGAAAGTTGACGGAAAGTGAAGCTTCCTACTCACCCGCATGCGCAAGGTTCCGGATGAGCAATCGTGCGGGAAAACGCGAAAGAATCCCAGGTGAAAAGTGGCGGGAAAATGTAGTGAATCAGCTCGAGATGAGGAACTTTCTAGAATTCAAGTATTTCACTGACGCCCTTGTGCGCAGGACCATGTCTCAGTTGAGTATATCAGAAAATTTCCCCCAACAAATGAGAGGTGTGGACGAGTATGACATCATCACAGATGACGAAGTGAGTAGCCTGGACTCTAGGAGTACCCTTATTAACTCGACCCATTCCACCTCACAGTCACAGGGTTACTACAGCTCTACATTCAGCAGTCGATTTTTTAACTTTAAACGTGGCAAGCGTAGATAAGTTTTGTAGCTTACACTGACAACCAGCATTTATAGTGAAATTAGATAGAGACCCTCTATTATTGAGAAGCATTGCAAAGTAAGGACTTGCCTTTCGAAGAAAGGTATAATATATTGTAAACAAAGAGGAGAAATGGTGTTTATTGAGAACTAAATCAAGGATTTTATTCTAATCGGACCAAATGTTCTGTAAGTCTCTTTTTGCTACCTTTCTAGAATCAAACAATGGATAGATATTCTAGTCTTCTCGGATAAGGACGAATAAACCGTAGGCCCCGTCTCCTGTAGGGTTAGGGGTAGGAGACGTTAATTTCCCACGCACGAGATTACTGTGTAGTGGATGTCCTCCCCTGGGGTGGGATGGGTGGGAATTGGCCCTGAAAAGCCCCCATGGGGAGTGGTCAAGTAACGTATGTATGTATGTAAGTCGGTAAATCAACCTCTGAGCCCGCTTTCGATTTGGTCAATGACCCTCCTAAGCAACATGACGCAAAGTCTCTATTGAAAAAGATATCGGTTTCCTCGATGGACGAGTGATTTGGCCGCTACAATTTTAGTAAATAATACTAAATGGAAGAGGTCGAACTTTGTATGTGAATTTTTAACTTCAATTTTATTGCCTCACTTTTGTTGTACAGAGTTTCGAGGCGAAGCGATTGCGTAAATTAAATCTTGAAATATGATAAATGATAAATCTAAACTGAGTTGTTTATCATATACTCGACTCAGGAGTTTACTTCAGCCTCGTTTCCTAGGTTACTCTTTTTCCCACCCCCCTCCCCTCGTAAGGTCGGGACAGAAATGTCGTGGGGTGGCGAGAAGAGAAAGTTGTGACATCATCTGTAGTTCCATCTTTGTTTCAACCTCACGGCTAAGACCTCGGAGACCGCTTTATGTTAGCTCAAAATCCTACTCTATCTTACCCACCCATCTTTCCTCAAACGTTTCTTTGTCGTAATTTTGTAAGCGGCCTGCGTGTTGAGGTTAAACCACAGAGCGAAACCCATGCATTCAGCAATAATATTGTTGATTCATAGCGGGATATATAAGTTATTTCAAAACAAACTAATCTGATAACTCAGCTGGATAAAAATCTGACCTACCGCACGCGATGCATTCTTTCATGTTGTCTCGCTGTTGCTGCAGTACAACTGTTTACACCTTGATATGTAAATGATAAAAACATTGTTTCTTGATGAAAGATTTGCGAATTCTAGTCCAGTAACCCCGTCGCTTGTGATACATAAAATAAAAAAGCGGCAAAGAAGTTTGCAGGGTGGGCTTTTCTATTTCTTTACATATCAAAGAAACTTCTAGATAGTGGAAATTACCTCGCAAAACTTTAACTACTCCGTGGTAATTGGTCATATGAATTAAAATACACTGTAGAACCACAGGCCTGCCTTCCTATTTACAGCGCGGCAGATTTGATCTCTCCTATGCCATAAAAGAAACGACCATTGACCTCTGCAATTTGACAACATTTATTTTGTATTAAGCTGTCCACGAAGGTATCTAGACTATGATGTACCTCTGGTTCTATGTTGAAAGCTACCTAAGATATATAAATGATGCTATCAAATTCAAAGTTAGCGTGCGATTTCGTCGTGCTTTAAGTCAGATTAACATTTTTTATACTCATTAGCATTGCTGAGCCGTCGTTTAATCAAAAATCAGATTACTGAAAAATTTCGTTTCATTCCTTAAACTTTCCCCTACAGAGCGAGAGGTGGAGCCATTAAATGGGGGAGGGGGTTTATTTTTCGAACACAAGAAGTTTTTAAAATTAAAGTAAAGTTGCATATAAAAGTTGACACTCTCCGTTGTCTGCATGAGAACAATCATACTCGTTAAAATATATACGCTACGGTCTGCAACAGTAACGTGTACGGTTAATCTTGCGACTTGTTTTCTGTATCCCAGGAAACAAATTCAAAGAACCAGCTGCCATACTATAAGCGAAGAAAATTACTCTGTGATGGTTATTAGAGGTCGTTTTGATTTATTTTCAATAAATTCCTATAATTGAAGTTTTATATACTGTCTCTAAAGGACTCTAAGTTCCAATAAGAAAGTCTAAATAGTGCCTTGACAACGGGCATATGCCTCCTTACTTCTTTCGCGGCGCTTCCTCGCCGACTGACGCCTTTTTCGCCGCCTTTCCTTGAGGAACTTTTCGCAGTTTTCTCCTCCAAGTCTGCGCATCCACGTACAGATGTGATACACGTCCTGGTCCTTGAAACGCAAGGCGGCATTGTAATTTGCGCGGTAATACCGCGTGAACCAGATCCTCCTGGAGTGGCCGGTACAAGTAGACTGAGGGGGTCCCCTGGTGATTCTGTCGCGGTTCCCTGAAAACACACCAACCACATAGCGTAGATATTTCCCATTTGCAGGCCTGCGGATCTCGTAGACGCCTGCCCCCGACGAACCTCGCTGGGCATCACAGCAGTGATAGAGCAGGTTAGCGGAGTAAGTCAGAACTTGGCAACTTCTGTCAAGAAAAGGTAAAAGCTAAGAGATGAAAAATTGAAGTCATCGTGGATAAAAGAAAAAAAAAAAAGAAAAGAAAAGAAAAAAAAAATTTTTTAATTAAGTATCTCAAGTTTAGATTCGAAGTTCAGCGACTGCCTGATACAAGTTGGGCGCTACAATCAACTGAAGCACAAAGCCACATGCTGTGAGGAGGGAAATTTTAGCGCTTTCTGGTTCCCACCTTTGGGTATGTTGGCATCACGAAAGATCACACATCTTAATTAAGACAACAAGATGTCTGGAAAAAAATCAGGCTCGGAAGTTAAAATGAACGCGTTAGGATTATGCAGTTCACCAGCAACGATAAATGTGTCACTTGCATATCATCTCTTCCCCAGGTCACATCATGATCTCGCTCATACATGATATTCATTATAAATGATAAGCAGCGTAGGCGGAGGGGGTTGAAACATTCTCTGATGCACACGTAGGGTGAAAGAGACAATTCACGAAAGTTTTCTCCTTGACAATACCAAGACGGACTGTGGAACTGAAGACATCCTCGGCCATGGATGGCCATAACAAGCAAAACAGGAGAATATATAACACTGGACTATTGAGGGAACACAAAGTTGAAATGCGCCAATCATAGCTGTTGAAACGATCCAGTCGAAGCGAAGATTAAGTCTTCGGAAGTTTATGCGTAAGAAGTCGACCTAAAAGGCGACCTATTGGTGCGATGTCGAAACGGCGCGGTTTACAGCGGAAGTAACGGCATGACTACTTCGTTAGAAAAATGATAATACTTATTTTTTTTTTAACACGATAAATGACGATAAACATTTATTATATTATAAGACGTTGGTAATCAATTATGATTTAATAGGTGTTTAATATTTGAATTATCGAGTTAAGGTGAAAATTCACAAACCTGTAGAGCAAAGTCCCTTTTTTCCTGTCCTCATCAAAACCAGAGAAATGAATTGCCTCGTGTGCGCAGTGCGTTCCATAGAAGAAAGTCCTGCTTGGAGAAATGGGCAGAAAGCATCGACTGTGGTTTCTGTAGAGCTTTATTAAGGCGTAATCATACTTCGTAGCGCTCGGATCACTTCCTTTCTTCCACAGTTTGGACATCTTAGTAGAGCTGATCTCACGCCATTCTGTGGTACCATTTCTCATGAGGAAACCCACCTTTAGGCTTTTGTACCCTTCCACGTAATGGCTTCCGTTGTGAAGACAATGAGCTGAAGTCAAAACGTGTTTAGGTGATACCAGGACTCCGGAGCAACCAGTTGAGATCCGCACCGCTGCGCTGAAGGGGCATTTTTCCAGTAGTTTTGGAGGTATAACCACGCGGTCGTCCCCAGAAAATACCACTCGTTTGGACCTATGCTTTGCAGTCGTTGATTGCGAAGTTCTGTGCGCCATTGAGATCGTCGATTCAGGATTCCCGAAAGTTACATTCAGCTTTCCCTTGGCGTTTGTCATAGACACCTTACTGGGTAATGATAATCCGTAGATGCGTGGCGAGTTGGCGAGGCTCTCTGCAAGTGATTCTTTGCCGTTGTACCAGATTGTGTTCCCTTGAACAGTTGCGTTTAGCAGGCAATAAGTTATTAAAGTTTTAACCGCCGTCATAATGAGAGGTCGAGGTAAAACTGCCATTTTTTCCTACCGCAAAGATGTTACGCCTTTGAGAAAGCCTTGCTATTCCACACCCCAACGGCTGAAAAACAGTAACGCGTTGAAATGAATCACTGGTATATCAAACGAGATTTCAGCATCATTTCAACATACCAAAACCGTCAAAACTAAGTTATTACGGCTGAATCCTCTTAGAGCAGGAAATACGTTCTTCATATGATAAACAGGGCATTGAAAACGGAATAATGCGATGTACAAATGATTTCTAATAAGCTTTTGTATATGTATTGTTTCCTGCGGCCAATTTTACAGGCTGTTAGAGGGATCACAAGAACAATATTGGCAAAGTCTTTGTGGTTTCCTTTATGAGTTGAAAACAAAACACGTCCCTCAGAGAAATCATAATGATATATATGGGGCTTGTTGGACGACAAAACCGCAAAATAAAAATATCGTCAGCTCTCAAGTGTTCTGTCATTACCGAGATTGACGCCAGAATATCTCTCATAGCCGTAACACGAAACTCGAACAAAATTCCACTGATTTCTTCATAAAAAGAAAAAGCATTATGTTCATAAAAGGTTGCATTTGATAATCATAACTACTGCATGGACAAATTCAAATCATATCAGTGATCAAAGAAAAGATGGAAAAATGCCTGAAATGCATGTTACGAAACGGTTGGTGATTCTAGAAAAATTTAGCCTAAAATGTTCGTAATTCGCAATCCGCTTTAAATTAATCTTCTTTATCCTGCCTGAGTTATCCGTATTCTAACGTGCTGTTTGCTCTATTAGCTCTCTCTTTCTTTCCCTCTCTCTCTCTCTCTCCTTCATTCTTGTTCTTTAGATTCCACTAATGTTAGACTGAAGTCTCCCTACAAGTTTAAGGTAATTCTGTACAGGGTAGAAACTTACACGTAATACCGCAACACTGCTGATGCAAAGGTCTCGGCAGAGAAAAAGGCCCAAAGAAACTGAATTTGACTCCTGGCCGATGACGAAAATAAGTCAATAAAAAATTTATCATGAATAAGAGGATTAGGCCCGAAGCACAGTACTTATGGATACTTCTCCTCTATAGAGTAAATCAAAAGTTAACTGACCTAAAGTTGGCTCGTCATATCATTGGACTGAGTCAGTTTAACTGAGGGAAAGGGGTTTTGGAAACTTTTCAATTTTTTTTTCTCGTGTTGTAATCCCGAAGCCTGCAGTGAGACTATGTACAGACACAATCGCAAAACACTTGAGTAATTCACCCCTGTGTTCTGATCCGTCAGTCAAATCTCCAGTTTCTGTTGTGTCTTATATTTATTTATCCAAAAGTAAGATTATTTACCTGAACCCTGTGGTTACCACCAGGGGTACAAAAAACTTAACTTTTACTGAATGCAGTTTTCGCACACGGAAAACGAATCCTTCATTTTATTAAGGGTTCTCCGCGAGAACGCCGACACAAAGAGCAAAATTAACAAGAATGTAAACTTTGAACTCAAATTCGTTCCGAAACACTATATCGCCTTAAAAATCACAAACACTCATTAATATGTCCTGCCTTAGCAGATAAATAATGCACGCAATTACAGAATCCCGTAAGCTAAGAAGAGGACATACAAATCTAATTGCTATCCACTATATACCACTCGAATCTAAACAAACTTCTTTTCACGAGAGCTCTCGGCAGTTGTATTACAAAAACAAATTGTTTGTTCATCGCTAATAACAAATCATGCAATATTTAAACCAAGGTAGATTAACGGATTATTTCTTACGGACGCGTGGTAAACTCTGAATGTGCTTTTACACCCGCTCTTGTGGTAAATTATCGTTAATTGTTCCACAAAATGTGTACATTATATTAATTTATAAAAGCCCTAGAAAAGAATAAACATATTTAACTACGTACCGCTACTGTAGTGTTTTAGCCAAGAGCTGAAGCGTGTATCTTACGAAAGATGTTTTTCCTACAAGTGATCACGACTTGAGTGAAAGTTCAGATGACACTTTACAGAAAAACATAACCCGCAGATCAAGGAAACAGACCAAGTCACGCAAAAGAATATCTGGTGTTTATTTAAGTAAAAAATGTGACAAAATAGAAGGTGATAGACTAATAAAACGCCACGTGGCACCGATTTCTTTCTTCCTTTTTGTTCTTCTTTTCTTTTTTTTCCCCTTTCTTTGTTTTGGTGGTGCTGTCGGTAAAGCCATGATCACCGAGTGAATGAAGTCCTTTTCGGGTGGTCGGGTTTTTATTTTTAACAGGCTTCCTGTGATTAAATATCTGTTTATTCATGTGGTGAGAAAGAAACATGACCAGTTTTAAGAAGGTCGGTTTACTTGTTAAGGACGTGGGTTCAAGAGGCTGCAGTAAGCATTGCAAGGTGACACTATCAAAATATCAACGTTATTCACCTCCCGGGTAGACACGGACATGGTTTGATTGAGTGAAAATTAACCTCTGAGATAGTATGCTAAAAAATGTTAACAAAAATGTCTATTTTCGTTTACAAGACTCACCAGTCGTCTGCTTCTGTCTTATGTGAACCGGTTCAACCGGTTTGCAGATCTTTGCTCTGAGCATGTCCGAGCTAGAGATTAACTTACAGAAGCACACTTTTGCAACAATTTAACACCCCGAAGAAACAAATAAGCTTTTATACATTCAAAGCATGAAAGTTTCAATTGTTTTGGTCAGCTTAGCAGCTCTAAATATTTTGGCTTAGTGCCCGTCAATTGTCTTACTGGCAAATTTGCGCAGTCAACTCTCCCGCATCATCGATCTCATCCCCTCGACCTCGATTATCCGGCACTTTTTTGGCACCGGATATCCGGTTCAACAAAAAAAAAAAATAAGAATGATTAAAAAAGCAGGAGAAAGCATATAGAGGAGGCTCGGGTCAAAGCTTTTAATTTAGGACTCGATAAGCTGTCGCTGTCCGGAAAATGAGCCACGCATGCTTCTCCTCCCAAGACCGAACTAGAGGGAGCTTCGGAAACCGAGCAACAAAACAAAAGTGGTTGGAGAGGGAAAGCTTCGCTATCGGAGTAAAACGTTTTAAAAAAAAGGCTTTCTAATTTCTTCTAATTATAATGCGGGTTATATGCGGAATATGCCTGATATCATATCAACGCCAGCGTAGTTTGACTTTCCTCCTCTTTCATCTCGTTACTTAAGAGTGAGCTCCAGTTATTATGAGTAAACAGTATGTTTGAACAAACTTTTAGTTAATCAATTTTTTATGATTTTAGTTCATTTTCGCTGTAATTTTAGTTTGATCAGACCGGTAACCTTAGGACACTTTGCTTTTTTTTTTTTTTTCACGTGATTTCCACAGGTTTATTTCAAAATTCTGATAGAGTCGAAGATACCTCAATCACGCCAAAAATATTACTGCGGTGAGAGACACTTTGGGCCGGTTATTTAAACAAAGTTTAGCCGCTGTTTAACAAAACCGCATTCTAAACTATCTTGAATTTAGCTGAATCTCCTCTCTGAACATTTATTTTTGCGAACAGAGTCAAGAGGGACGAAAACTTGCAGTGGATGAACATATTTTTGAGGAAATCAACCCCTTTATGGAGCCAGGCCCACCGCTTGCGAAAAACCGCGGTTCGAGTCAGACTACGTGTAATATAAATGGCCCTTTGTGTTTTATTTGCCCACAGATTAATCGAAGGACCTTTTTTTTCGTTTATCGGGTCTCACTCATGCGCAGTTTTATCAAAATGAATGACCCGCCATTCACTTGAGGGTAAGGAAAGAAAACAATGCCCTCGAAGGCTAAGAATGAAGTGACCCTTTGCAGACATTGTTCAGACCCTCGGATAAATGATCATGTTTCAGATGCTAATGTAATGATCGGAAGATTTAAGCGCAGGTCACTTGATTGATCATTTTGGGTGTTCAAAGATAATTATTTGTGCTTTCAGCTGATGTTAGTCGATGATTACACCCAGTCGACTACCATTAAGGAGGGCATAAATTAACTAACAAAACCTGACCTGGATAACAGTTTTGAAGACATGGTTTGAGTTTAGTTCAAGGATTTAATGAATGTAACCGAAATTACAATTCATGGAGCCAACGTTTCGACAGCCTCGTCTAAGGCCTTCTTCAGGGCTGATCTGACCGCTGCAACAAGAGGCCCCTTTTATATTCAGTCATAGATACGTGGACAAGAAATCAAGTGTGTTTAGTTCTGCGTACAAAACTAAGATAGTGAAAATCTCTTGCGTTCCACATGGAACGAAATTGCACAATAAATTGAAATCACAATTCCACCACGATCTAAGGATTTATATATAAGCTGTATACACCATGGTAAGCTGTACATCAGAACTGACTCTTTTTCTCTTTTTACCTTTTTGGGCGTCGTAACTATTACTCGCATGACTGAAAAAACAGGTCAAAAAAATGACGGTGTTCTGAGAAAATTCATACCCGGTTTTGTGAATACTAGAGGATAAGTTAGCTTCTAAGATAATTAGAGAGTAGGTCGTACTTGAAAACATAAAAAGGATCGAACTTTGCGAAAAACCATACAGGAAATGTCTACTTACAAGGTACAGAATGTGCTTGCTTCCTCCAATCGAAGGTAATCGGCGAATAGAGCAATAGATACTTACTGCTTGTTTTATAGTGCAGAGCTCGTCAATAGCTTCCGGTTTACTAATTGCGTGTCTGGCCCAGTTTCTCCACTTGTCATCGCGCGGTTAAAACGTTCAATAGGAATATAATTCTCTTGTCTACATAAAAAAAGTTGCCGTTCCAGTTTCCGTCACCTGCACGCAAAAAGGAGTCGTTTGTTGGGTCTGTGAGGCTTGAAACAAATACAAGAGAAAGCCTCCCGGGAAATTGGAAACGCCGACGTGAACGAAGCCATGAATGACTTCGAAAGATTTTGGCGTTATATTTCAGCGAAGCATTATCCTATTGTAAACTAATTATGCTGATTTCGACTCTCTAATGATTGCGGTTAAATGAAGTTAGTCTTCACGGCGACATTTGTTGAATGCAACACAGGTGTGCAGCTTATTAGCTGGGCAATAAAAATACTTGATCTATGAAAATTGCACGTCCCACATATTTAGATTTGAAATGACTTGGAATAGTTTTCTCTCGTACAAAGGTTTACGATTCCGAACCG